TACAGAGTGAACTACGAATAAATTTATAAAAATATTAATCGGTTTAGGATATGTTTGTAAAGCAAGACTAGATGAATAGTTCAAATAGGGTCGAAGAGTGCTTTGAGTGTAAGGCAATAGCTAATAATTCAATTGAGATCTGTCAATTCAAATAGAAGTGATGTTAAGTCAGCATTCTGTACCAAATGTAAAATTTTTTTTCGTACCATATTTAGCAATCGCATAGGGATAAAGAGTGCCTAAATTTATTTATTTATTTCAAATGGCAGGCGTTTTGATAGCTATCATTAGCCCTTTAGTTGACTTCAGGCTTCACAGAGGGAAGGGTCATCAAAGTAGCAGAAAGTCGAGGAAGGGGAGCAGAAGAGCGATTCACGGATGTAAAAGAGGCAGACAGACACAAAGGTAGAGAAAAAGTAAAAGTGAGTACTGTGGAAGGGGTCGAATATGAAATACAGTGGGGTCATGGTAGTTTGAAGTCAGAAGTTAACTGCCGATCAATAGACATTTTTGCCGTACGAGTATACGTTGCCCAGGGTGCACCACGTGGAGGTAAGTCTATCGCGCACCCCGAGTGCCTAAATAAGAACTTAATATAACAAAACCAATGGGGAAGCCAAGCTGGAGTGAAAGGTGACGGGTATATAATAGCGGACTATACAGAAATAAAACTTGAATTGTGTTCAAAACACCATTGACATATGACATAATGGGCAAAGACGTGCCTAACTAATTAGAGGTCACGCGATTTATCACGTATGTATTTTATCACTAAGGCATTCAGCCAAACGAACAGACAAGTTGAAACGCTACTGAAATCTAAATAGTAGAGTGTAAAAGAAATAATTGAAATAGAGTAGTCCACGATGACTTCAATTAATAGAATGACTTTGATTGAAAGTAGAAATATGTTTAAAGATGCCCATTCCAAGTTGGCGCCATGAAAAAATCAGATAAAAGATACGCCAATTTATATTAAAGTAATAATTTCCACAAATTATGCTCAAACCTCATGAGTAATTACTTGCAACATGAGAAATATTAGTTATCTCATCAGTGCCGTGTTAAGACTGTGTGATGCTGAATACCAGGCAATATCATCGTGAGACCGACAACACTTTTGATTAAATAAATACAGGACAACACGTGGTATCATTTGACGTAATACAGGACTCGAATGATGTACCAATCTCTGACGCCTTTACGCAGCTCCCATATTCATCTAGCCCCCTTTATTTTAAGCTGGTCCTCCACCTAATCAACTTGAAATTACCATAAAAGTAAAAATTATAAAAAAGGGCATATTTTACGTCCGAAACAGTCCTTTCCGGCAAATTCCTCTCGTATTAAACTTTGATTCTGTGAAACCAGCTAAGTTAATCTCAACAATATTGAGGAAAGAGGGGTGTGCGATAGACTTACCTCCACGTGGTGCACCCTGGGCAACGTTTACTCATACGGCAGTTGACTTTAAACTACCATGACCCCACTGTATGTCATATTTAACTACTTCCACATTACTCCCATCACCTTTTTTCTACCTTTGTGTTTGCCTCTTTTACATCTTTGAAACACTCTTCTGCTCCCCCCCCTCTCGACTTTTTTTTGCTCTGATGTTCCTTCCCCTCTGTGGAGCCTGAAGTCGACTAAAGGGCCAATGACGACTACCAAACGCCCGTCATTTAGTATAAATAAATAAATATTGAGGAAACAGGATGTAGGGCCAAAAGCATGATTAGTAAATGAGCACATTTAATGCAAATTGAAGGAGTATTAATGGCAGATAAGCTGAAGAGGCCTCTACGCACTGCCGCACACGAGACTCCTTGATTCAGTCATGTTAGTGTTGTGCTCACCCCAACTGTCAGTTTCAGTGGTTTTATGCTTAATTTTTAAAGAATTAACAGGCGTTAAAAGATTCAACCATATATATATGCACTTGTATAATATACCTGTATTATATACCAAAACCCCAGGGCAAATATACACAAATTAACGCAAACGCGCATTTACACATTTAACGAGTCGTTAGTAGAATCAGCGAAGAAATCTATACAGAACACTTAAAGGAGCAGATATACTCAGTGATCTCCCATCTCCATACCAATGTCCAATTCCTCGTCATTGTAGATGTTCTCGGCCTAAAAGAAATACACAAGAAAGAAACAAATAAATAAATGAACACCTTGCCCAATCTTAAACCCCTTTTGGGAGAGCATTTTCTGCAGCTCATGTTGGAGTTATGGAGTCTTCACAACGAGAAATGAAAGGCGATTTCACCAGGGAACCCCTACTTACACAAGCATTCAAAGTAATCTCCATACAATTGAAAGGCGATGATAAAACTAAACAAACATATCAGACGACTAAGGTACGAGATAAACCTATACAGTTAATGGAAAAAAACTAGAAGCATCACTTTTAATGCTAGTGAAATCAATACGTCTATTCTTCCAATGGTTATTTATACCCATACTCGCACATAAATGCTTTGGGTAAGATTAAAAAAAAACAATAAAAACTATGGGGAACAGATTCATTAAAGCACAATATCTATTTATGAAACCTATTCAGTTACTTCAATCTATGACCAAATTGAGGCTGATACTTTAGCAGCTTCAGGATGAGGATTTAGGCAACCGAGTATAATACCGTAGACACCTCATTTAACAATGGGAAGTCCTAACTTGTAAAGACATCGTGGTAGTTACTCTGAAAAAAAACGACACAAAGATGACTGAAAGTGTACAACTCGAACTGGGAAAATCTGGGATGCGAATGAAACGACAAATGCTAGGTGGTTAACTTAACAATCTCCACTTGTTAACTTCATCCACCTTGAAACTTCTCTTCAACACTCAATCGAACTTACCATTTGCCAAATTTGGAGGATGTTATCCTCTGATACCGAGCAAATGACCCAGGGTTCATTGATATTCCATGTGAAATCGGAGATTTTCGCGGTATGGCCAGCATGAATGAAGAGGAGCTCAGGTGGGCCATCCTCAGCATCCTCGTTAGTCTGATCGACACCAATTTTGCTCAAATCCCAAATGTGTAATCGACGATCAGTACCCGAAGAAGCCAGGATTGTCTCATTGTGAGGTGACCATTGAACCTAGGAAAAAGGGGATTTACAATTTGTAACCAGTGTGCAGTATTCTCGGGTTCATCGAATTGAAGAGTGGACAAACACATCCAAATACGAGTACAGGTGCAATAATGATTACGGTTGGTTTTCGTTAGTCTGTGTACATTTTGAGAATTATCTTGAAGCACAAAAAATAACCACCCAGCCAACCTTCTAGCGATTAATAATGAGTAACTTGATCATTGTACCGATGAACATTGAAGTTATTACTTTTTTCTGCTCATGTACAATTAAAAGAACTACCTTTATTTCGACCTCCTACACATAATTATCTTTTACAGGCAACTCAATAAGCAGCAAAAAGCGATACTCATACACAGATAAAAGAACCGATAAATTAAAATCATTTGAAGGATATGAAAAGCATTACCTGGAAGATTTCATCTCGATGCGACTCAAAGGAATGCAATTTAAGGCGAAGATTACGAAGATCCCACAAAGCAACCGTCTGAAACAATAATCAAATGTGAATAATTTCAAAGCCAATGATAAATTATGAAAAAAATCATCGAACCAAACGCACCTTATCAGCACTACCCGTCGCAAGAATAAACTCCGAAAAGGGATTAAAAGCCAGGCAATTAACCTCAGCTGTATGGGCATCAACTTGATGTTGAGCTTTAGTTCGGCCCGAAGTGCGTGTATCCCAAATCATCAGTTTGTTATCATCGGCAACGGAACCAAAAACATGACCGTTCATAAGATGCCAGGCGACATCTTCAACAACTGAATGGTGTCCGGTAAAAACTGCCATCGCATCTAAATTACGACCATCTAGAGGTGTTCCAGAGACATCCCAAAGACATATTGTTTGATCATCAGATGCTGACAGAAGATGTCCACTATGAGTTGCATTCCATGACAACCCGTAACCTTCTTTCTGATGGCCTTTTAGACGTAAGTCAGGGTGACAGTCCTGCTCCTGCTGACCAATGGGATGATTAGCATAATCGAAGACAAGAACATCACCACTAGGCGTTTTGGTGGCAATAATATCAGGATTTTGAGGCATGTATCTTGCACGGTTAACCTCCCCCTCGTGATTGATTTTCATGGTAATTTCCAATTTTCCAGAGGGAAAATGAAATCCACCAAAATTGCCCTTTTCACTTTCGTAAGTGCTGGCATCGAATTCAGCAGTATCGTTTGGGAGATGAACGGTAGCGATTAGAAGATGGTTTTGTTCATCAGATGTGTGAGTGCCAAGAATGAGACGATGAATAGAGTAATCCTCATCAGTGCTAAATTGATAAGTAAATAAAAAAACTTACGTTTCGAAACCTGGGAGCCATTGGACAGTTAAACTTGGCCACTCAAGAGCATGGGACATAATCATATCATAAAGAAACGGTGTGTTTCGTTTCCATATTTTGTATTCTTCATTGATTACTCGCTCTTCTAGTATATCCTCCGATTCTTGAAGAGGTACCGACTAAAACACTATAAACAATTCCTACAAAACCCACCATCATCTTTAGAATCTAATTTTCTTCTTTAAAATACAACGCGGCAAGTTGGAGTGGTTAAACAAATACACAAAGTCAAGGAAAATGGAAGTTGACTTTTAATAGCACATGAAACAGAGGTTAGAAGGTCAATTTAATTGTTTATTTCTTTATTTTTATGATTTGTAAAGTGTAACGTATTTTATATTTGTAATACCTTATCAAGTAAAAGTGCTCAATAAGCTATTTTCTTATAAGTTATTGCACTTTTTAAAATTCAAGCCTTTTATCAATATAGGCTACAGCTTAAAAATTGCGTACATGTTATATCTTTTAACTCCACTGTACGGGATCGCCTAAATTTATTATTATAAACAGTTTTTTTCAAAATGGTTTTCACAAACTGGAGCTACTTTGCGATAAATTCACCACGCTTAAGATAGTTAACATGAACCTAATTTAGTTTTGCATTTATTTTGATGAAAGACATTCTTTGAGCTCAGTATATAAGATTAGTGATTAAAAGACCGATATCTTTAGAAATTAATAATTCAAACTTTTTAGTTCATCACGAGGTTGCAATCCTAAATCAAAATATTCATTTTTCACATTTTCAAATTTTATTTGATCTTAAGACTTTATAAAGTTCATTCTAAATTCTGAAATATAGTCATTAGATGTGCTTTATATATCATATCAAACTCCGTTGCACAGCCAGAATAAGCAATATATTTTACCTAATTCCCTGAAAGACTAAAAGTTGTCGCAAAAATTGAATTAATTGCTTTAACAATTTAACAACATATAATCTTACATATTGGTCTATTTAAGTTAGATCATGTTTCCTCGTCAAAGAAATAAACTAATTGGTAAAGGGATCGATAAGTTCATTTTCGAATGCAATATCTTTAATAATATCGTTTGGAACTTACACATAACTAGAAACACGCAGATGGATCATGGAAATCCTAAGAAAATTTTGTTGAAGATCTGCATTAGGACTTCCGGTGATGTCTTCCTTTCATCTTGTGAATTGATGGTTCATGACACATTCACTATTTCCATTGTTCTTATGGTTTGTAGTTGACCTAAAGACAAAGAAACAATAATTCGATTGGGTAGTTTTCAACTCATTTAATTTAAAACTTTCCTAATAAAGGGCAATTATTGTGGTTCTTATTCCACTTGTTTATCTTTTATTCAATCCTCAATCTCTATAGCATAAAATAGTACATATACTAAAATTGGAACGATACAGAGAAGATTAACATGTCAAAAAAGTAAATAAACCGGCAGTTGACTTCTCACTTCAAACTACCATGATCCCACTGTATGCCTTATTCGATCACTTCTACCATACTTATCCTACCTTTTCTCTGCCTTCGTGTCTGGCTGTCTCTTTTACATCTCTGAATCACTCTTCTGTCCCCCCTCTCCATTTTTTCTCACTTTGATGTTCCTCCTTCCCTCTGTGAAGCCCGAAGTCAACTAAAGGGCAAATGATAAGTATCATAAAGCCCGCCATTTGAAATAAATACTTTAGCATGACCTCTAGAGAAGTCAATGACCAAAGTCAGGACAACCAATCAACGGTCAA